GAGGAAGGGACAAAAAATGTTTGAAAATGACTTTCCTCAACTGCTGGGGGCAAAATATGAGCATTTTTGAGTTGACTTCAGAATTTTTCAAAATTTTTCAAATCAGAAAAAAATGAAGAGGCAAACCCGATCGAGAAACAGCAAATTAAATTGGTGTGGCCTTATATGTGACAGAAGTCCTCCCAAAAGGGGACACCACATTTCATAACAGTCCATAGGGATGACTCAGTTGTTGTAACAACACAATTGTTTGTTGTTTCAGTCCTAGCAACCTGTTGACTTTAATTACAGAAAAGAAGACACACCCTTTAGCACAGGTGAGTCAAAGGTGAAAACACCTGTGTGTCAAAGGTGTGGTGGAACAGTCCGTCCTTGTCAAACTGTGCACCATGGAATGTTATAAGGCCATACCAATGTAATTTGCTGTTTCTCGGATACGCCCTGTCCATTTTTTTCTGATTTGCAAAAAAAAAAATTTAGGTTCTAAATCAACTGCAAAATGCTCAATGAAAGACATATTTTGGCCGCAACGGTTCAAGAAAGTCCTTTTCTTCCTAGTTATTAAAGTTTTCCAATGTAATAATGCAATTCTGTTTCATTAAAAGTTCATAATCTATTGTTTTAATTATAAACCAGCCTGGTATGTTCACTTCATGGCTCATATTGTAACATTTCCGGCTATCATGGGGTGCCTTGGCCTGTTTTTTTTTTTGTCCTTTCGCTCCAGATTTTCTCAGAAAAAAATCTGAGAAACAACAAATTAAATTGGTGTGGCCTAAGTTTGAAATAATCCTGGATATTATTTCCCATTTACATAATTGTCACATACAATAAGTCTTTTAACATCACCAGCTGTATTTGATTCATAGTATTTTTTTGAATTTTTAAATACCCACATTTGAGGGTATGATGATTCTGTCTAAGGGGAATACTTCTTCGGACAAAGCTGGCATGTCATTATTATCATATATAATATCATAATAAAACAATTAGCACTCAAACTTCAAGTTCATATGTATCACAAAGAGGTCCTAATCTTGACAAAAGAGCTGCATCTTACAAAGCCATTGTTCATATAAAATATCTACATGTACGAAGCCAGCATATCTCCCATATTTGCTATTGCATCAATATACAATTGCATTGTCTTTCAAACATTGTAAGTTGTCCTTTTTTTCCATTTTTAAAAATCTTACAATACAGCACTAAGAATTTCTTCAAAATAACGAAACTTGAACATTCCTCAAGCTACGTTACATTATTGCAGTTATCGGTGATAAAATTGTGACCATAAGACATATATGACCATAACTTAGTACACATGTAATACTAAGGCTTGTGTACCGAGTACAAATATGGCTGAAATAATAATTATTGGACAGCTAGGTTTTATGCCTGACTGGACCCCTATACTCCCTACGCAAGAGAGCATGAAGTCATGACGCATGATGGAAATCGTTTGCAAATATTTACACCCAAAAGCCAAGAAGTAAATATCTGTCTTCTGTGTTTTCTGCTTGGTAGGTAACATCTGTGTCCATAATATCACCAGGGTCCATAATATCGCCACCTTGAGAAACAGTGTGCTTTAAGATATTTTTACTGCAACATACCCTAGGTATGTACATTTGAGGTGTGAAGGAGTGCATACCAAAAGTATGTTGCAGTAGAATTATCTATAAGCACACTTTTTCTCAAGGTGGCGATATTATGGACCCTAGCGATATTATGGACACGGATGTTAACATTTCATCCACATCCAGCTAAAAGTTGTCCTATGCCAGGGTTCAAAATCAAATTCGATTTTTCTGTATCAGAAAAGTTTTACTTGCACCACTCAGAATTTAGTAGTGAAAACTTCTTACAAACAATTTGCATTATTTCTTTTATACTTCATAGTTGGTATAACCAATTTACTTGGTATAACAGTCAATGCAGTGCTCACATAACACTAAAATTCCACAATGTCACTGTGACATACACCTACATTTGTATATGTAAACCCAGTACATGGACCAGTGCAGGTAAGGTACAGGTAAACATAAGAAATACCTGCACAGCTCCAGTTTTACCTGCACATAACCTGTACTGTATATGAAGGTGGTATTTCGAGCCCTGTTAATAATGACTTGAAGTTGAACTAGCCTGCTCAGTACAGAAAGCTAGAGTTCAAAGACCTCATCAAATCCCTGTCAATTCTTCAATTTTTTGACAGTTACTTCCTGCTTTGAAACAAGTACATTTTGCCACACAATCCTGTACCTTGAGGCTTTTCCTGCCACAAAAATGTTCCGGAAATATTTCAGGAAATATTCATAATCCTGGATTCATGACATCATCTACCCAAAACTGTCCCTGTTACTGGGTCATTTTCCCCCCAAGGGACTAGGTCAGTCTCCTCAGCAGGCCACCATGTCCAATATTGTTCAACGTTTTCTTAAACATTTAGAAATTCAATAGAATGTAGTTACAAGATTTTAAGCAAAAGTTTCTTTAAAATATTCTTCTGAATCTGATGTCAAACTGTAAACCATTCTTCAACGAGTTATTATCTCCATGCAAAGCAAATACTTTTTAAAAAATCCACTCAAGTTTTTGTTTTGAAACAGTCCAACATACGCTTGCGAGGAAACACTAGCAATGTCCTTAGGGGGGGTAACTAGGAAACGACATTGCAATTGTTGCTGTGTTAATTGTGTTGACCGAACGAGCGGACACACTTTGTACATACTAGCCAACACCCAGTAGCCGTCATTGTATACCCTTTTAGCTTCTACAACACAATCTTGAGTTAAGGTTTTAACCCAAAAAACTTGCCAAACAATTACTTTAAAGCTAAGTACGTGCAACCTTTTAGATTGTTCCTATTTTTCTGAGCATTAACACAAGCTAAACTGTAATTACAAAAGACTGATTTTTTTCACACTTGGGTGAACAATATCTACTCTTCTCTTTCTTAATCATACTAAGGCCGACTTTAGACTGACGACGGTATACGATCGCACGACAATCGTTGTGGGCGACGGCTGACTTTAGACACAGGGGCAGGCAGCGTGGCGGACACCCGCAGCGCAGGCTAGCGCACGTATGACCCTCATTGACATATGACCTCTGACATCTTGCCGCGCGAATTCAAAATGGCGGGAGAACCGCTGTTTTTCGTCATGCTGCAGCAGATTGTCATTTTTCTGCTTTTAACTCGTGCTGCCATGCGGGCGAGACGACGAGTACGTGCCCAGCAAAGGAGGGCTATGAGGCGCATGTACCGAGACGAGCAATACCCGGGTTTGGACCCGGCGTTCGGTGCTGCGGCCGGCCTGGCCATTATGGAAGCCAGGCATGTGGATCGGCGGTTCGGTTCGTACCGAAGAAGTAACCATTGGTGGCAGAGGATCGCACTCACGTTTGACGACTTTCAATGGTATAGGCGGTTTAGGATGAGGAGACCTACGTTTGTTTTACTGCTTAATAATGTCCAACATGTGCTACGCCGCAATGACACCCGCATGCGTAAGGCAATAACCGCGGAGACGCGCCTGGCTATCGGTATCTACTGGCTTGCCTCGGGAGATTTATTGCGGACAGTCGCGGACCTTTTCGGCGTTAGCGAAGGGTCCGTTAGCAATATTGTGTACGAAGTTTGCAATGCAGTAGTGGACATCTTGGGACCCCAATACCTGACTTTTCCCCGAGGAGAAAGACTGACAGAAATAGTACGGGGATATGAAGAAAGGTGGGGGTTTCCCCAGTGCGGAGGAGCAATAGACGGATCACACATTGAAGTCAAGGCCCCAGCTGACCTTCGAACGGATTTCTACAACAGAAAGGGGTGGTATTCCATGGTGCTCCAGGGCATTGTGGACTACAGATATAGGTATGTCATCAAACATGTATGAGTGTTGCTACTGTGTAACCAACAATTTCTGCTTAAAAATTTAATGTTTACATGGAGCATGTCAACTTTAAGGTACACTATACACATATATTTTACACACACCCAGGAGTCCTCGTGCCAATAGTCTTAAATTGTGTGATGTTTTGGTCCACTTTCGCAAGGATAATAGTGGGCACTTCATACCTGGAGCTTAATTTTTGGGAAATAATAGGACCTGTACATTTGCAAGCCTGTTCTCAATAAATGAAATGTTTTCAAGAACTTACCTGGGTCAACATAAAGATCTGCCATTGCATGGTTTATTATGCTACCATGTATGCATGCTACTATGTATAAAATAACTGTCGGCCTCCCAAAAAGAATATTCAGATATATTCATTTCATCTGTAACAGATTCATCGATGTGTACACTGGGTGGCCTGGAAGCGTCCATGATGCGCGTGTTCTGCGAAACTCCCCAGTCTTCAGACGTGCGACCAGAGGAAATGGATTGAGCTTGTTTCCACAGGTATGAGTATTTCCTTTACACCTAGAGGAAAGGTAAAGAATAAATGTAATTCCATTGAAGAATGCTGACGCATTTCTCTAACGATTCCTTTCAACTGATAGAAGAGAGTGCAATTACACCCAATGAATATATTGACGTTAATATAAATATTTACCATTACATTTTATGCTTTTTGTTTTTTAGGAGTTCAACCGGAGGATCTCTGGAACTGACGTTCCCGTAGTGCTGCTGGGCGATGCAGCCTACCCCCACCTGCCATGGCTTATGAAGCCCTATCCAGACAACGGTCACCTGAGCCAAGAGAAGACTACATTCAACTACCGCCTGAGTCGGGCAAGAATGACTGTTGAATGTGCTTTTGGCCGGCTGAAGGGCAGGTGGCGGTGCCTTTCTGAGGAACTGAAGATCGATCTGGACCGGGTCCCAACGGTGGTGACGGCATGTTGCATCTTGCATAACGTCTGCGAGCAGCATGGAGAGAACTACTTTAACCACTGGAATATCCCTGCTGCTGCCTACAACCCGCAGGTGAGGCCAATCCAGCAGGTGAGGCCAAGTGTGGCCAGGGACGCCTTGGCCCGACTATTTGCTGCCGGTTTCCCCCTGGGCAACGCTCCTTTATAAGTCATTTGCATTTCCATTTTTCTGTACGGAACATATGCGTTTCCTCCTTTGGGCTCAGGTGTGTTTAATGGTTCGCCTCAGTTAATATGTTCATGATGTACAATGGCTATGAGACAACACATTATCTCAAAATACCAGTTATGCATATGACATTAAAAAACCTGTGTTGTATACATTTGCAAAACTTCCCTGTCACACTTGCTTCATGTTTATAATAAAGTTTGATACCTGAGAGTGAGATACATAGGAATTGCATTGTAGTATGAAGCCACACTTGTTTTCATATGTTTTGCAAAAATAGATATATATATATACTAATAAACAGTTTCTTTTAGTAATACTCTAAGCAACAAGGTTAACATCCCAACGGGGAACAAGTCATCTGTATGGCATAAAAAAACCTGTGCTGTATACATTTGCAAAAGTCCCTGTCACACTTGTTCATGTTTAAGTTTGATACCTGAGAGTGAGATACATAGGAATTGCACTGTAGTATCAGGTCGCACTTGTTTTCATATGTTTTGCAAAAATAGATATATATATATATACTAATATTATAGCAATAAACAGTTTCTTTTAGTAATACTCTAAGCAACAAGGTTAACATCCCAACGGGGAACAAGTCATCTGTATGGCATAAAAAAACCTGTGCTGTATACATTTGCAAAAGTCCCTGTCACACTTGTTCATGTTTATAATAAAGTTTGATATCTGAGAGTGACCTCAGGCTGAAACAGGTCTTAAGTGTACCTACAGGTGGATTGTCAACATCAGCAGCACTTCTTTTCCCTGAGAGGGTTGAGGGTCCCCTAAAGGGGTGGTGGGGGGGTTGACATGGGGCCGGCACCTGCACCAGTTTAGCAGAGGGTGGGGGGTGGTTTAGCTGGGAAACTGAAACAGTATACCTACAGGTTTAAATATGTTGGTTCAGCAGCACTGGTGTCAACATCAGCAGCACTGTTTCCCTGAGAGGGTTGAGGGTCCTGAAAGGGGGGGCGATTTGGCATGCGGCCGGCACCTACAGCAGGGTCCTGAAAGGGGGGGCGATTTGGCATGTAGCCGGCACCTACAGCAGGGTCCTGAAAGGGGGGGCGATTTTGCATGTAGCCGGCACCTACAGCAGGGTCCTGAAAGGGGGGGCGATTTGGCATGGGGCCGCGGTTCTGGAAGGGAGGGTTGTTCGGATGGGCACCATACTGATACATGGGGCGGTGCTGGGGCATGCCTCCAGGGCCAAACATGGTCATGAATTGGCCCATCATCCCCATGAATTGTCCCATCATGTTGGACATCATGTCCCTATCCGCCTCCTGTTGTAGTTTACTAATTCGGAGCTCGTGCTCCCTCCAGCTTTCATCCCTTTCTTTATTTATCTCCACCTGTTTTTTCAGTCCTTCTTCTTGTACTTTGGACATGGACTGCTGAAGGCCTTCCATTGTAGATTCCACCCTGCTCTTCTTCTTGTTCACATCAACCTTCTTGAACACTAGCCAGAAGAACAAAAACACAGGCTTAAAAAATATACTATGCAAAAAAAGCTACAGGACTAATTTATAACACCATTAGGTAGTAATATGCAGGTTTGTTTTCCTAAAAGTACATCTTATCAACGCATATGGTGCATTTATTCCCTTATCCACACAGATATTAATCGGCAAGAGTTATATTAATATTACCTGGCCCCTTTCGTTTCCTGTCTTCAGCCGAAGGCTTCCGTGTCTTCTTCCCAGTCTGCCCTTTCTCCGGCTCCTTCCCAGTCTGCCCTTTCTCCGGCTCCTTCCCAGTCTGCCCCTTCTCTGCCTCATTCCCAGTCTGCCCTTTCTCCGCCTCATTCCCAGTCTGGTCCTTGTCTGATAATGAGAAATTACAGAAAGTCCATCAATTACAATTGTAAGTTCACCATACTGTACAGAAAAAAAAAAAGATCATTGGTTCATATTCTGGGTCTTCTATTTCGACACATACTTAATGGTATGACATGTGACAGTGATTGAAAAAAATAAAAACAATTCTGACTACATGAATACTTCTCAGTTGGAAGGTTTGAAGATTATATTCCTTGTCATTATTTCATTCCCCAATGCATACATAAAATCTACAAAGAAGAAAATAGCATGAAAATTGCTTTCAACAACACCTGCCTTTTGGGTCAGTGGGCATGTCCTCCACATCCCCATCCCCATCCCCACTGCTGACTATAGAGAGCACACTTGTATCACCACCAGTGCTTTCTGCAGAACTGTCAGGCGGTGGTGTGATGGACCTCGTTGACGCTGTGTCATCGTCATCTTCATCTTCTGATGACTCTGTAAAATAAAAGTCAAAATACCTTAACAACAGTCTACAATATACATAAAACCATTGCTGAATGTATGTTTATTGCCATTTGTAACAATAAGTTATATAAATATAATTATAGATGTTAGATATTGTAACTATAATTCTTATGTGTCTACCTTAAGACATGTTGTTGACGTGGGAAATATATATGTATATATATTTTTAAATATATTGTATATATATATGAATTATATATTTAAGTGATATATATGAATTATATATTTAAATGTTCCTCACACATCAAAAATAAAAAGTATAACTGTTGTAGAGACTGTTCAAATGTTGCATAGTATCTATCTACACAACACCGTTAACAAATGTAGACTATAGCCTGTGCTTCAAGCAAGTGTTAAAATTCTGAAAAGTTTCTAAATACCTGAGCCTGAGAAATTGGCCTCCACTGTGTTGTGTGGCCGTGTGGCTGGTCTACCACCGAGAAGACGGTCCAGTTCATCGTAGTATGGGCAGGTAATCCTCCCACTCCCACTGCGCTCGTTTTGTTTTTTGGCCTTTCGGTAGCGATACTTCAGGTCTCTCATTTTTGTTCTAATCTGTTGTGCAGTGCGGTCAAAACCCTCATGGCGCATACCATCCACCAACTTCTTCACCGCTTCCTTGTTCCTCGCCGTCTCGAGTTGGGAGAGAACGCGCTGATCTCCCCACAAACCCAGCAAACAGCGCGTCTCCTCATCGCTCCAAATCTTCCCACGGCCTTCTGCCATAGCCTTGTGCTTCAATACTTGTCAAAATAGTCCAAAAAAGGCTTGAACAAAAAGAAAACAACACAGGAAAATGGCGCGGGTTTCCTCGTGTGGCGACGTGCTTGGACAGGAAGTGGCGCTAGCGGGCTTATTTGCATATGACCCATGACCTCCCACTTCCTTCGCCGGCGACGGTTCACTTTATACGGGGGAAACTGCGTCTCGGACCCCCCGCTGAAGGATCGCACGATAGGGTCCGAGGTGGTAGTGACGACGATTCGAGGATTACCGTCGTGCGACTATTTTGATCGTGTTTAGACGGTGATAAAATACCGTCGCCGGCAACATCTTGACGATAAACATTCGTACGACTATCGAACCGTCGTCAGTCTAAAGTGCCCCTAAGATGCAGAGGTGTTTTCACGCCCATTTCTTTAATGGGCTCCACCCACTATGCAAACAATGGCTCAAGCCCTATTCAAGCATAGCTGTTCATCATATTGGAAGGCATTGGGGAGGAAGTTCCACTTATACTAGACAGTCTTTTGTAGCAATGTTTGGTACCCAAGGACATATCATATTAATGGTTCTCTTGAGTACAATATGGTAGGCCATTATGACATTAAGTTTCTGACATTAAAATATGCAAGAAATGCAACAACCTGTCACTCTATGGGAGAGTCTACTGTAAAATGGGTAGGAATTTTGCTGCATTTTTTCTGTTCTCTGTCTTGTCTCCATGCTTTTTGTCTAAGAAGACCATTTTTCTTGGTCCCACAGGTGGTCATCTCAGACAATTTGGCTGTATTTCTTAAAATTTAGAAAAGTCTTGCTCTCATTTTTACCAATAATGTGACAGTGACAAGACAAGTACATGAAAGACTATTGAATTACAATTACTTTCTGTAAGAAAGCCAAAAAATTGCATAACTTGAAACAATCATAAATTTGTACGTTTAACTTTAAGTAAGTTTTCAACTGTACAACTGTAACACTGGGAAGCAAAAACCCTTGCGAATGCCTCCAATGATATACGTGGGTGCCTAACGATCCGTAGTGTTTCCGTATGAAATACTGACTGGGTAGGAATGCTGTCCAGCCACATAGTGACAGTAACCTGAGAACTTGGCCGACAAGGACCCAGACTGTCTAGTACTTGGAAACTTGTCACCGGATGTCTTGTTTTACAAGAAAGTTCCTAGGTCTAATGTTTTTCAGAACACAGGCCAGTGACTCATACAAAAAAGCAGCATTATGACTAATATGAGAGTGAAAAAAAAACAATATTGAAAATGGATCTATTCTGCAAATCTTTAAAAAAAAAGTCTGCATGGATTCAGAAAAAAATTAGGAATTCATTAAAACAAGGCCTGCACACAAATACATTGTAAAGTCTAACTTGGCTTATACTAAAGGTTCAAGGTTAAAATTGGTTTATATGGTCACATCATAACATTAAAGTAACTCATAAAAAGTTTAACCCCTTACCATTACTGTAAGTCACTTTGTCTTTACGGTAGCAAAATTTCATGGTCCTAGGAAAAAGGATTTCAAAGTTTTTCCTGTAGGAACAATTGTCCCCAGACCCCCCTACGATTTTTTAGCCAGCGGCATCCCCTTTCGATTTGCATCATCTTGTCTTAACTTGTCTAACTTTTGTAGCTTTTTGGACTTCCAAAAAGTTGTCTTCACTTATTTGCATATCAATCAATAGTTTGTGCGTATAAACCTGCATTTCTCCTCTGGTCTCTCAGTCAGTGACCAAAGCTAGCTTACTTGGATACTAGCTGAAACGTCTGACCGTTTCCAAAATCAGTTGCTTGAGTAACTGCTTTTTGCCGTATCTTATTACCTGGATGTCTAACCTTCATCGATACGATGTTACAAATAAAATTGAAATGACGGAAAAAAATTGCAAGCTGGAACACAGAGATCATCACACCGCAGTGTGGGAACATGCCATCTGTAGTTTACAGAGTAGAAGAAGGTTAAACGTCAGGATTATGGTTGGTATCAACTTTTCTTTCATGTTGGATCTAACTCCACTTTGTACAAACACGCACACACAGAAAACGACATGCCTGACTTATAGCAATTCACAATAGATAAATCAACAAAATACCATTGTCAACAATATGTACTAAAAACGGAATGCACTTCTGATCTTTCATTTGTTGTTGTTGGACATATACAAATAAAGTTACTGGTAACTACATTTTGGGAGGCATGAATGCCTGTACATTTTTGTATAAATTGTGTATTAAGTTGACATTGTATAATATGTATGCAACAATACTATATACCTAAAAAAAGAAATGAATAAAAATTCCACATAAATACAATAATATACCATTTATACCATTGGCACCAATAATAAACAAAATTTATATACATAAGAAAATAAATATATAAAAAGAGTAATGAAAATAGGAAAGGATATGCAAAAAAATCTGCCTAACGGCCCTTTCGAGCGTAAGCAATGGACTAGTCCGTCCTAGATAGAGATGGATAGGACAACTGGTCATAAAGGCGCACAACAACTACCCCAACCTGCCCCGGTACATGGTTCAATACCTTAACACCCTCCTTAACAGCCTTGGACAGCTCATATATAATGCATGAAGATGGCACATTGAAAGCTCTGTCTGCATGCATGCCTTCCTGTGTGGTATTAAAATCCTAAACCTCTTTACTGGATCTTTTCCCCCACACATCCATTCTAGTTTTTTATTGAGGTCACCAGATGAGAACTTTGAAGGGCAGATATATTGTATGGCCCACATAAAAGGGTCACAAGCTGGCATTGCCCTAGAAAATATGGACCCGTATGGCTTAGTATGTGTGTTTATGGCCCAAATACATGTATGGCCAAAGGCGTTTCGCAAAGGGCTATATGTTTACATGTACAAAATGTATGCAGTAAGGTACAATGTAATTAAAGTTTGTGTCGAAATAAGTCATGTTCCTTTTTAGGAAACGAGAAAATAAATCTAAAACTTGGCCTTGATTTGACACTTTTTAAATGGGGATTTTGAAAATACAAAATCTGTGGAAAGCCCCCCTCCCCAATCCATTTAGAAGGGCCTGGACTAACCCTGCATTACTTTGGCATGTGCTACAATGCCTATTATTTATTATTGATATGTCAATTTTAACCACAGTTGAAAGGCACTGCTTTGACCTATGCTATTGTTATAAAGAATTCAGACCTGGTATCCCAAATATTTATATGGAAGTTCAAATATCCAATGAATTTAATATTGAATCACAGTCAACTACCAAAAAAAAAAACACAAATATTTACATTTGTCATATGCATTATGCTACAAGCTATCCTCAAAAGAACAATGAATTAATGTCATCACAAAATTAACAAGGTGAGAAACAATAATCTACATTTTATTTTTAATGTGAAGCTTTTGGAAGCAGGAGAAAGAAAAACAATAAACAAAACTCCTGGGAAAAAAACACGTCTTTCCACAACACACAAACACTATTATTATCCATGATCCATTAACTTCATCTAGATTTATAATCATTGATTTTTCAGCCTCTTCTTTCAAAACTGCTTGATTATACAGTTTTAATCCCTACCCATGTGTATTCTGGTAACGATTTTTATGCCTCCCTTGTCTACATAAAGGCCTACCAGGGATTTCATTATTGTTTATCGACATAATAATCATTCTGAAGAATTTTCCTCAAGCTAGAAATGCTTCCTGAATACGCATGCTTGTGGAAGTAAAGTTAAGATTTCATTTAGATTAGAGTGGGAAAAATTTGTCTTGTGAAGGTACTTTTGACAGGTATACGGAGAAAATGGTACATTTTGAGCCCTGGTATTGGAAAATTAGTTTTACCATTTGACAGATGCATTAGGGATTAATTGACCCATATCCATTCAATTACCAGGGTGACTGCAGCTCGACCACTGTGTCTTGTCCATGGTATAATTTTTTTCTAAAAATCCATCTAGTAAGGTTTACTAGCGTGTAAATCTAAATTTTATGGTACATTCTTTCTGATACTAATCTTACATTTACGTGTAAACCTGTCAAAAAGAAAACTGTCAACAACTTGCAAAAAAAAATTCTTCTGTGGTTATTGGGCCAACTATATCCAATCCTGTCAAATAAATAATTTTATTGCAAATTAATGTCTCAGAGCAGCATGTATCCTAAACAAAACAAAACAAACAACAGTCTATAATGTGTGTAATACTATACATTGTATATTACGTAACAAAAAGAATAAAAACCATCAACACGTAAACAATCATCCTATATCCAACACCTCCTTTAACCTTCATCCTGTTACCTAACCCCAAAAACTATTAAAAATTTGGTGCCAAATGGCTACATTAGCATGTTAAAGGTTAAACAAACAACTTATGTATAGAAGATTATAATAGAGAATTGACATGTACCTACCTAACACCTAACTGGCACTCTTCTAGCTTCTCCATACTTTCTGATTCACAAAAAACATGTGAAATCCACAGTCACTACTTCAACGATGCAGTGCTATCATGCCCTAAACGTCATTTTAATAACTCCAAGCCTCCTGCCAGCTATGTTACGCCGTTGCTCCTATCCAGAATGATTGGTGTGCGGGAAATCTCTGCCCCATGAAACAGCCATCTTGCGCTGTAGTCCCGCGTGTAACATACGCTCGCAACACGACACTCATCGATTTCAGGAAGTAATCACTAGCTGTGGTTGCCAGCGAGCCACGATTGGTCGGAGTTGGATGCGCTAGCATAGATATGGGCCATTGGAAAGCTTTCAACAATTCCTGCAGTGTAACATATAGCTACTAGGTGCCACTGTACAATCGAAAAGCGCACTGTTATAAACCAGCTAATTATATACAGTCAAAACTGTGCCAAGGCCATGGTGACAGCTTTTTCTCGGTCTCAAAAATTTTCCCCATTGACGCAAGCATTAAGCAACCTGTCCAGGGTGACCACCTGGCCAATGTGACTGCAACGTATGTACAATGAGTCTTCGCAGTAAGATTATGAACTTAGAACTGTCTGGTCTTTACTTTAGTGCCCATGTGAGGCTTTTTGCAATGTTTTTGTTCGTGTGTTTGTATATGTATTGCAACAATGTTTTTTTGTATTTGCTTAAGACAAGTAATTGTAAAAAATCAGTGTTATTCAGCATGTTTTTGTACAGGCTGCGAGGCTGGTTTTTATGAATAAACTGTTAAACCACCCTGACTTGGGTTCGCTTTTGCCTCGACTGCTGGCCATGGACAGTGTTTTTTGTTTGACGTAAATTGTGCCACCCTCCCCACATGCATTAGCTAACCACAGAACTGAAGATGCTTACAGCATATTACATTAAAACATCTTGACTTGGAAACCATTTATGTCTCAGTCATGTTACGTTGTGAGGCTACCCTCTTCAAGTAGACCACCTGTCCAAGGTGACTGCTTTTTTTCAGGTGGTTTCCTTGCAATTGGGCAGGTTTGACTGTAGATACAGATACTGGTACGCTGCATAGAAGGACGCTCCAGGGGTCTACAAGCACACAGTGACACTGGGAAACGCCATGTTCTAAACAGATCATGTTTCTTCCCAACAATAGCCAGTATATTTTGTTTCCCTGACATAGTTTACTAGTTGTTCTCAGGACCAATTAAGGGCCATATAGAAGTCTCCTTGTCTTCTTAAGGACAGTTGAAAGGAAACAGGATTTGGAACAACAGAAACTTTGACCAAGTTTCTTTTAGCTACATTATGCATGGCCTGTAGTATATATCATCAAAACAAACCTTTTTGCATACATGTGTATTTTACAGTATTAAGCTTAAGTGTTTGTAATAATAAATAAATGTGCACATTTCATATTACATGTACAATACACAAATTCAAAATTATACTTACAATGTTATTCACAATAATATCTATATTTCTCTGAAGCGTAATAATGTAAGATGTAAGAACTAGAAAAAAAGATAATAGAGCTGGAAAAGCAACAGCGCAGAAAAAATTATTTCCAAGAACGTGTTAAAATCTATTTCAAACAGGTGTCGCAAGTGGACAGTGAAATTGTTTTCCCATAAAATCTGAGAAACAGGCATATAGACCTTCAAGCTTAACAGTTCATCTACAACTTGCAAGACTGCACTTCACATTAACTTCACATTAACACAAGGTGTTACTAAGTACTAGTAGTAAAAATATTTCTCTACAAAATGACCACAGTGGCTGGACAAAAAACTCACTACAATAGTACTTCACACATACATGTACATTCATTCCCTGAAACTCTACATGTACATACAATGTATTCATAGCAAGTCTATAAAGTAACTGTCGTTAAGACTGTTATTATATTTATGACCTATCTTGCAACATAAGAACCAATAATCGATTTGTTAATTATACGCCTTGTACATCAAGGACTCAGAATCTTGGTAACATCTTAAGTTTTCTGGGCAACATCTTGTGCAATATGCATCGCTGTTGGACAGTACCTTGGACAAACAGCCATTTAATAAAAAAGCAATTACCCATTTAATTACACCAAAAGGATATTAAGATGGGGGGAGATCCATTCATTATTTATGACATGTAATGGCACGGGATAAGTAGCATTTGAGGTAATGTCTCTGACTGTGTGACTGTCTGAAATTGGCAATTTCACGATTCCCAGATTAGATATAGAGTATCTAACAACAGCATCAACTTTTTCCTGATAAGCGTTAGCCTACTGCGATACGAACCTGATAATTTTATTGCTGCTTTAATGCATTCAGTTACAAATTTATACATGATATTAAGACTTTTACCTGTATCTTTCAACATTGTTAATACAATGACAAAACTTCTTCTTGACAACATAAACTTTTGTGTCCCAAAAAAATCCCCGCACCCAAAATGAATCAAATACTAGTACTAGACTTTAGTTGAAGACTCCAAGCCTATACTAGGTAAATTGTAATAAAATGTCAATGCAAAAGATAGAAATTACAAGGACAAGTAATACAAGGGGTATTCTTGGTTGTCACTGTCATCATTATTAACACTTCTATGGACATACAAGAGCCTTGGGGGAAAACATGCTCACATGCATACTAATTGTTTGTGTGCTGTTATTCTGTCTTTTGCAGCCTTTTCTGAGTTTCTATGTCCATCTTCAAGGTCTTGGGCATCCTCTTGCTATATGTATATACACAGCTAACGGTTGATGAAAATGCACTGCTAAAGATGTACATGTACATGTAACATCTGTGTCCATAATATCACCAGGGTCCATAATATCGCCACCTTGAGAAAAAGTGTGCTTAAAGATATTTTTACTGCAACATACCCTAGGTATGTACATTTGATGTGTGAAGGAGTGCATACCAAAAGTATGTTGCAGTAAAAATATCTTTAAGCACACTGTTTCTCAAGGTGGCGATATTATGGACCCTGGTGATATTATGGACACAGATGTTACATGTACATGTACATGTACATCTTTAGCAGTGCATTTTCATCAACCGTTAGCTGTGTATATACATATAGCAAGAGGATGCCCAAGACCTTGAAGATGGACATAGAAACTCAGAAAAGGCTGTTGGACACATGTTACATGTTGGACATATATAAAATACAAAATCAGACAGACCTACATGTAGCATCTGCTTGGAGAATGATAGTATTACCATAGATGTTGTGTTACATTGTATTACTTTGTAATCTTTGATACCCAAGTAGTGTACAAATGTTATGTTGACAACATTCCTGTACATCCAGCTCGTTGCAACTGTGTCCTGTTCCCAATGACAACTGATACCTAAAAATTTTCATTCTATTCATGTTTCTAAATAAAACAACAAACGTGTCAAAACAATCTGAAGGTCAAACTTTGTTTTTAGTCAACTCTGCAACGAGTATTACATATTTTCTATGTTCTATTATATATTCTAAATGATTTTAGCATGAAAACAAATTTCTTCTATCTTTCTATTGATTTCTGATAGAATACACATTTGTATTTCAAAGGGCTACAGATAGAACATATGTGCATATACATGTACAAAGGTAAACTTTAGGGTTACATAATATGAACACTATAACTAGTATAAGGACATGTACACATTCAATATATAATTCAGAAAGAAACAAGTTACATTTTGAAACTGAAAGCTAAATTAATAAATGCACTTTGTAACATTCTATACCTTATGCCTGTATGCAAATTTACAATACGAAGAGTACCAGACCATACTGTTAAATATGTAACATATTAAAAACATAACTTACAGTGTTGTTAATTTTGATCTGACATGTTTACTACATGTAGGTTTGGTGCAAGACAATGTAAAGTAATGTAAATCAGAAGTAAAATATCATATTTTCAACTTGAACATGCATTTCTGTTTTTGTTGTATCTTTTCTAACATAGTCAATGCAACTAGTGGTAAAAATATGAGTGTTTTTTTCTGTCATCTTGTGCAGTGTTCAATTGCCACACCTACTTGACAAAGTTCAAATTCCACATACCTTTTAGTAGTTACAGCAGGTGGGAAAACCGTATGTTTATAGCATGCAAGATTATTGACCATGTAATTTTTCAAGTGGACATAAATATCTGAACAGTTTGCCATAACAAAATCTGTAGGAAAATTTAGTGAGCTCCAATTCCAAATCAATGATGATATAATATCTTATGGGGCATTCAAAACATGAAAATTTTGTCTCTTTTGGCCTACAACTTAGTACAATAACCATGTGCATATGCTTGTAATTTGAGTCACATTGTACCTCAAAAAATATCAATATGCTACTAGCTTAATATGTTATGGAAACTGAAGTGTAACATCCATTGACCTTTATCCGTCACATATATCAGCAATAGTGAAGTGTTGCCACTTTATAAAAAGATCAAACAGCATTCTTCCCCCGCTATATGTTGACACTATAGAGTACCTTTGCCCCTTTTGTTGAATGCGTTTTGCTGTCTCCTTGATGCCTCTGTAAGAAAATTATCGCACTGAATAAAACACGACTGAATTGCGTTGGAGACAGGCATGTTCTAAAAAAGATGAACCTTTATCCGTCACGAAGATACTCGTCATAACTCTCTCTTTGTTATTTACCTTTTAGACAAGGACTGTTATTTCTTTTTCCGTGGTTTGAGAGTGTCTGAAACTCAAGCTGTCTGGATAAGGCAAAACGAAAGTTCAGCGTTGAAAAATGTCCGTTTTTTTCTGTTCTCTGTCAATGTCCCGAAAAACATCGTCCTGCGACAGATTCGTTCTTACGTTCCACTGCCGAGTCGTGGCTGTTGTAAATCCTTTGGTTAAATCCTTGGGGGCCTGCGACAGCTATTAAATGCGAGTAACTGACGATGGTTTGCACTACAGTCGGTAAAGTCATGCTAACAAGCAGGCGGAAGCGGAGACCCGGAAACTGTAACATGATAACACAGGTCATCGGCCTGTACCAAGAGCAAATAGCTGCGGCGGGAGCGACTACAACTCCAATGCTTGTTCCAGGAAAGAATTAAGAAGACTTCATTGTGTTAATACTATAAAACGCTTTATTTTTTAACACTTGTGCTTGATAATCTTACTTGTGTAAAAGTGTGCTGACTTGCCACACCTACACACAGACTAGTGGGATCGTCGGCTGAGTCGCTTGCCGCTTGATGTTTCCATTTTCATAACGGGGGTCCTGAATGGAGGAACGTCAACCTACCAGGCGAATACTCCTCCATAGTTTGCAGCTACTATTAAGATCAACTATAAAGTATAGGTACTTTTATTTTTATCAACATATGCAGAGTTTCAACATGCTGTTTTAAGATCAAAGGGACACACATAAAAATAAAGTAACTCGCGACAATGGTTCACCCCATTTTCCCGCCACTTGCGCTTGCCACAATCACAGTGACAGAACGATTCTGACAGAATTTTTTTGATGTGCAAGCTACGCTATCAAGGTCTTATCTACCAGAATGGTAAGTGGATGTGTTTTAGTTGTTTTAGGTAAGTTTGTTTAGCTTCTAGATCAATTTCCATGGCAAAAAATATTGAAGGTCTATACAAACTTGATCTCCTAAGGAGGCCAGTATATCGAGACAAAGTCATACTTAAGAGGCTTGACCTTAACCGAAGGTTTGACGTTGATATTTTGTTTTGTTTATAGAAACTGACTTTGCAGACATTCCATTACTGCTCTAACGCAGAGAAGCTGATTGACATGTTTGAGTGCGGGGAGACCCCGCCCCTCCGGGTACGGCCGTACCACCGCCCAGGTGCACCGAGGGCTGGGATCATGACCTCGGCATTGGTCGACGGAGACTGGATGCAAGTGGGGTGGGTCCGGGAAACCGACCGGCTGGCAGTTGAAGAGTTGTGCTCTGGAGCCGCTATTGAAGACCTGGTTGTGAAGCTGAGGGAAGCTTACGTGAAGAGGGGGTTCTGCGTCCTGAAGCTTGACGTTTCCCTTCAGTAATACCTAGTAATATACATTGCATTTCGTTTGTATAAATATGTTCCCAATAAAATGGTTCTGTCAGTCTAGTAGCCTTATTGCGTTTTTCCAAGCTTGTTTCTACATTCCAGTAATGATGTTACTGATTTCGCACATAGACAAATATACAAGGAATACACGTGTAATTACATTATTACATTACCAATAGACGACTGGTATCTATTTACCGTACTACGAAGTTATTTTCCTTCCAAACCCCCAGTCTAATATCTTTAAACTTTAGTCGCACAGATACAAATGGGAGAAGTAATAAATTCATTACTTCTTTTTACAGGCAATACCGATCGATAAACCAAAAATTATAGAAGGTTGTTGATGGTTTTATCCCATAGTATCCTGACTGACGCTTCTTACTCAAGAACAAATTTGCCGTATACTAAACCCTAACACCACATTCAAGCCCGGTCGGGACTTTAAACGCTAAAACAACTTCATAAAACGACACATTTCCCAATGTAAACATGGCATTTCATACTAACCTTGAGAATCTTGTGTAATATGTAATAATGTCACCTAACTTTTAACTATTGATAACTAATTAACGATTGAAAATATAACACTAAAATGGTTTGAGAAGTGAAATTCGCCCATTCTTGCATGGCGGCGCGGATGAAGCACGAATAGCAATCTCGTAAGCATAAACAACGATGTTGGTGCAGACGGAAGGAACCACATTTTCATCTTGCTCGACAGATACCAGTCCGCATTAACACACCCACACCGTGGTAGCACCGTGAGTGGTGAGTCTCCTGGGACGTAGTTGCGCGATCCCGCTTAGCCTTCATCCTAAGAACAGAAATTGGGGGGGGGGGGGGATTAAATTGGTTCTTTAACGTCGGGCGAAAGTCATTAAAAACACAAGTCCTATTACAGACGCTGATATATTCGTGTGTACAAACCTCTGTCGACTCTGTTGTGAAATCCTCCATCCACAATGGCCGCTTTGCCACACGGCGGGGTCTAGCGGCTGCTTCAGCTGGGCTGGTGCTCTGAGCGAGGATCAAGGTAAGGTTATTAAAGACAATGTCAAAATGACAGAAGTCATGTGTACGTTCGTAGGATCAATGAATATGAATTGAGCAATCTTCAAGCGACTGATCAGAAATGTTCAACGTCAATGTATTCCTTACCGACAAAGATGTTCCTGCGGATGGCTTGTTTGATTTTTTCTGCTGCTTCTGTTTCTTTTGGAGCCTTTCCGCTCGCTTCATTTCCATTTCTTCAGTCTTCTTCCTTTTTTTCTCCTCCCTCTCTTCTTTTCTCTTCATCTGTTCTTTTACCTTGCGTTCCTTTTTCTCCTCCCTCTCTTCTTTTCTCTTCATCTGTTCTTTTACCTTGCGTTCCTCTTTCTCCTCTGCCTCTTTTCTCAGGTCTGCTATGTACTTCTCATCAAAGACAATAGCCCTAGGCTTCACCCTCCTCACTTTGCGCTGACGCGACTCCTGTATGGGTGTTAGTAGGTCAGCAACATACGACGGGACAATTCCGGCCTTTACAAACGGGTTCTCATTGGCACTATACACCTCAGATGTTGGTGATGTCACGTGCACGGGCAGAACTTTCTTTGTTGTTTCGTTGCTGACAACTTCTTCCTGATCAGCCAACTCCTTCGCCATCTGGAGTATCTCCTCCTCTTCGGGGAGTAGCTGGTAGGTACATGTATCTTGTGATTCTTCTACTTCTTCTTCTACCATGTTGTCTGCACTGTTCTCTTCTCCTACGGCGACTTCAAGGCTGTTCAGTGTCAGCCAACGGTTGTTTATCTGAGACTGGTCGATGGGGAACACTCCTGTTTTTCGGAAGCCTGTCTTTACTACTGCCATTGACAAGCTTTTCTCCCGAACAACTTTGTAGACTCTTGGGAAAGTTGATTTGGTCATGAAGAAGTTCGGTCTCACCAGGCGCATTTCGTTCACTACATCCTCAAACGTACTCTTCATTGTGTTGAAGGGTCCTCCAGGTGCGTCTAAAGGCTGAAGAAAATGACTTGTGTGGGGGGGTAGACCCATCAGTATGATATCGTTGGCGATGGCGCAGTCGATGGCCTTGGGGGTTACATGCGCGCTATGCTGGTCCATGAGTAGAAGCACTGGCTTCTCCTGTGAGGAGAACCTGCAGAAACATCTCTCCAGCCACTGGACGAAGATGTCTCCTTCAATGAACCCAGATGACGTTGTAGCGTATACCGCGTTGTCCGGCCCCTCCAACCGGTATGCTGAACTTGGATAGGCCTTTGAAAAGATTATCAAAGGCGGGATGACTCCTCCGTCTGCTGAGACACATTCCATAGTGGAAATATGATCTCTCGTGCCCTTTCTTACCGAAGCAGCCGGCGCCCCCATCTTTTTGAACGTTACCACGTTCTTCTTTTGTGGATCAAGATCGAAACCCGTCTCGTCTACGTTATATACTCGGTGGGCTTGGCCTGTCAAGCCATTGTCGCTGATCCTTGTTCTGTACAACTCGAAGAACTCTTTCACCACTTTCTCGTCAACAGCATCTTTCCTCCCGCGGTCGAGCGGAGAAGGCTTCCTTATGGTCAGGTTGTTACGGCATTTGAACCCTTTCCACCATTTTTGAGACAGCCCCTTTTTCCGATTAACCTTGGGTGTCATTCCCATCTCTTCACAACGCCGCAAGTGGGTTGCCAGGGCCAGTGAGAGAATCGCCTTCTTACTAATGGGGAATCCCCTGTCAACGCGGTATTTGATGTAAAACACCAGACTTTCCTCCTCTTCCTTGGAGAGGATGTGTGGCCTTCCGTTTCGTGCGTTCACTTGACTTTTACCCTTTATTTTGTCAGTAAGGGTTGTCCGGGGAATTCCATGTTTTTTGGCAGCCTGCGTTGGCGTTAGGTGATTTTCATTAACATCGTCTAACACGCTCTGCATTAAGTTTGCGTCCCAGGTTTTCCGTTTTTTTCTCGAATTTTCCATGTTCTGAAAATTTTATTGTAAGTCATTATATGGTAACATTGGTGGAATGCAGTGCCATTCTTTTATTCATTTATCCGACCATTCATTCATTTATTCTGTTATACTAACAAATCAGCCATCTTAACTTACTAGTATCTTAATTATGAGTAATCTTCGTTCAACGTAAAGGTTCTATGGCTCTCAAAGTCCTTGAATGGTAACCAACTTGCTATTCATTCATTTTCAAAAATCTACCAGTTTGTTATCACTTCTGTATTACATTAAACAGAGCACACGGAAAAGTTATGGAGCGATACTGTGTGGCGTCAACAGTCCGAAATTGGACAATACCTCACCTAACCTTGAAATACACCGTCCTCTTAATTCAAAATGGAGCCATCTAGCGATCCATATCGAAATCGCAACAAGAATCCACATTATTCCTTTTATAGTTACATATTAAGCGTCTCTCTGAGTCCCTGAATGCGTTTAGAGCATAATGTAACGAAATTGTCACCTTATTCATCCCTTTATACAATAAAATAAGGCAAAAAAATGTTTACTACAAACCTTTGTCGTCCGAAGTTCTAAGTCTAGACCCGCCCAAAGCCTTCTGGGTAAGAAACATGGCGGCGTTCCATTTGCGTCGGAAATAACGAAATGTAGTCGCAATAAGAGCACGTTTTTTATTGATAAATCACAGCACGCCAGCAGATTAAGGTTAGGAAAGGAAACTTTATTAAGCTTTCTTGTTCACCAGTATGTTAAACTGAAGGTACGAGCGATATTTGTCTGCTATTCCTGTAAACAAGGGCACGATGTCTCCCTCCCACGGCGTAGTTCGGCCGTCGTAATAAAGGCCAATAATTGTCTGACCTCGTCCTCTTCGTATGCATGAGTGCCAAGTCCCACGCGGCACGGTACTGAACTCCTGGGTGTTCAACCTGTGCATACCTAAAGGGATAACTGATAGTGCATTGGTATATCTCTCGCTGTACACCGTTTTCTAGCGTGACGGATAAAGGTACTTTGACGGATAAAGGTCAATGGATGTTATATGTACATGTATAATGATTAACAAACTCTTACATGTATATTATAGTTACAACTTTACAATTGCAACAATACAAAACAAATTCTGTTTCCCTCCAAGCTAAGCAAAAGAGTACATTTGAGTGCCCTTTAGCTTTACATATATACCAGACATAATAAAATCTCAATGCTTTTGTTATACGTCCCATTTCTGCCTCACATGTACCACAAATGAAGGCCTTTCCAAATTCCCAGTTCACTGATGAAACAATAGCCAGGAAATGGAAAATAGCAATCAATGGATGGCAGTGTGGAAAAACTGATGAGAACTGGGCGACACTAAAAGTAAAACTAAATGTTCTCGTGTCGTGCCATGTGACATATCATGGTCTGAAAACCAAGGCTTGAAATACTGGGTGCATGTGCGCCTTAGTGCACCCAAATTTGGAGCTGTGCACCCAATTCTTTTCTGTAGGTGCACCAGTGCACCCAAATATTTTCTTAGGTTTAACGTTACGTCGTATGTAAAGATGTTGAATGTCTAGTAGTTACAGCATCTCAGAAAAACATGTCGGTGACTACAATTCTGTGTAATACAATACTTTACTGATGCAATCTTGGGTTTTGACACATACCAGTTCATAGATTTAGTCATTAACATGGATGAAAATCCTTTACAACGATTATTCTTTCCCCACAACAAATCACACAGTGGGGACCTCTACAAACAATTGCAACCCCTGGACCCAGACATCTGACATTATGGCCATCTTAGGCCACAGCAAGTCAATTTTATGGATGACAACCTCTGCAGACTCTAAATCTTATGCGAGCAGGCGAAAGAAAAACAAGGCGGGTCGAAAAACCAGGCTTCCTACATTTTAGAATTTTGACTCAATTGTACAAATGGTTTTGATTCAGTGATCATGAGAACATCACATATACACAGCCAGCATCACATATCACTGCATCAAAGTAAGAAACAAAACATTAAATCAGAGCCTTTTCTTGTCTCCTCTCTTCATAATTATCTGCCATCCACATAACAGACATCTTTGTCCATTTTCGGCATGTCGATCAATGTCAGAAGGCAACAAAATTTCCTTTTTTTTTCTTCCAAAATCAGGCAAAAATTAATGTGTGCGCTGATGTCATCCATACAAATTACTTGCTGTGGCCTTACTTCTAATACTGACCTCAATCTGCCAGTATTCAAGGCACACAAGGATTCATCACCTGATTTTCTGAAAATCCCCTTTCTTTCCCAAGTCTCTTGGGGTTCTTAAATCCCCCTTAAGGCGGGTATCTTAATATCGCTCAGTGGAAAACACAGAAACACATTTGGTTATCAGAAACTACAATTTCACAGTCATTTGTACTAAATTGTAGTGATATTAATACAGTAATAGTAATACTATGAATAGCCTTATTTATAATTAGAGACCATACTCTTTTATGCATAATGAGAGGTAAATTAGTAGAATTAAAACAGGCAAAATAAATCCTGTTCTATCACAAAGAACACATTGTCCTCTCATAAGTTGAAAAGTCATTCTAAAGATGGATAAGTAGGTCTTAGAATTCAATTCTTTCATGTAGTGCTCAATGATTTACACTCAGTGAACATCAACAAAGGTTTTATGTACATGTGCCTATCATCACTTTGACAAGAATTAATAAAAAAAATATTCTAGTTTATTTCTGTTATATTTTTCTGCCTATTCAGGCCAAGAACTGGCCAATAACTGAATGAGAAAAGAAATAATTCCATGTTTACATTACAAAAAGTGACACTATTGACTGAGAATGTGCAGGTATACTAGAACCACGCCTGTGCTTATACGTCACCTGACCCCTGACGCCTGGAACACCTGTAAGAACGCACCTGCACACTAACCACCTGTCCTGCAAAACACCTGTTAGCCCTGCACCTCCAAATATCACCTAAGATGTCGTTCAAGTCTCAAAATCCTCAAGGAGAAACCAAGCGTCTTCCGAGTGTAACGTTACAAGTTGGAAACTCGCAAGTCAAAGAAAAAGCTGGTGGAAAATACCTGCGGGTTGGTGGAGCGTAAAAATAAACAATGGGGGAAAAATAGGGTTTCACCGACAAAGTACTGCTTGACCCTCAAACCAAAATGCTAGAAGGAGCCTCAAGTAAATCTCCAACGTCTTTCTGGCAGAGAAAACTTCTTACATCTGTTCTTGCATCAGCCACTTGCAGTCAAACCATGCAAAATACCAGCGATTTATACAGATATCAACTATCGCTAACTACCAAGGGAAGAAATTTGAGACTATGACTTCCTGAATGGCTAGTACAAGGCTAAACAGTGCGCTGCCTTGCTTGTGTCTGGTGCAAAATGTGGGATTCTAATGGTAGCGGGACTAGGGTCCTTAAACACCTTAAGGTGTCATAATTAAGGGTGATTCATCAACCAGGTGATGTCATTGTGGTTTGCATAACATTTTCTTAAATTATTTGAATACCTGAGTTTGGGACTACATATGTTACACTTACAGTACTACATATGAAATATTTCTTATATTAGAAAGCACAGCTTTCAGAAAATGAAGATTCCATAGTCCACTTCTGTATAGACAACTACATAAGTTATATTCCCACATTTAAGACAGGAACAACCAGTTTTACCTTAATTTGGCTTAAACTGACCTAGATAATACCTAATTAAGAATTCAATTAAACACCACTTATACATATATTACAAACCAAAGTAACTTGCATGTTCAAAAGAAAAACTGTCTCAAAGATATGCATCTATAATCCATTTGAGCCCTACATTATGAGTAATTGGCATTTGCACAAGAGACACATCCTAGTTTGGGACAATAATTTTCAACCACTGTTTTTCTTACCTATTTATCATAACAATGCTCTACAATGACCATGTAACTTACAAGGAATACCTTGCATACTTAAAAACCAACAAATCTAAATCCTAACGTAAATACTTTAAATTATGAAGCCATTTAGTGACAATGTTTTGAGTGATAATTTGACAGCTCCCAGATTGGGACAGTCCCACAAATTCGGATAATAATTTTCAACCACTGTTTTTCTTACCTATTTATTATTACAATGACCATGTAACTCATGAGGGATATCTTGCATGATTAAAAACCAACAAATCTAAATCCTGACATAAATAAATTTTGAGTGATAATTTGACAGCTACCTCCCAGTTTGGGACAGTCCCAACCACTGACCCTAGGTAAACAAATGGCCCCACTTACTTGGCTATGGAGCTATTGCGACCTCGCAAGCTGGCCTCGTCCGAGTACGAACTGAACCCATCGTCGTGATCATACTCTCCGTAATTCCTCATTTTCAAGCCCTGGTTTTGGCGGGAAGAAAAAAAAGGAAAAAATTAAGACGACCGTCAAAAAAGAACGAGACACACCAGTGACGCAGAGGGAAGTGTTGCGAAATAAATAATTTTGCACAACATTTTCTGGAAAGTACGACCTAGTTTTGGTATCATTTTAACACCTTGGCGATTGATAGATAAAGACACTGTGGTAGAGAACGACTTCTTTAGTACTTAAGATAGGATTTAAGAGGCAGAGAAGATTTAAGGAAGCGATGACAACCGCGCATAAACAAATCAAACACGTTGGTCACAGTCAGATTCAGATGACGGGAAACCGGAGGGAGGGCGAGAGCGAAGAACTTGAACAGATCGTTTCTCAAAACTACGTCGCTCAACTCACCTGGGAAAGGACACAGGGTCCGAATCTGCCGTGAAACCCTTCTGGAAGTCTTCTCCTGTTGTCTGATCGACGAAGGAGGCAAGAAATGTCTTGTAAAACGTCTTACGGGTCCGGGAAATAAGACGGTCTCTCTATCGTGACGGCTCTAGACCTCCGCCCAAAATGCCTGAGGTGGGATAGATCACCACCCGTCCATGATTGGTCAGATTTGTCATGTGACCTAGGTGAGTAGGTCGAGTAAGTAGTAGCTAAAGAGCATGACAGAACATTTTAGTGGGAGTCAACTTGATATCAACAATATTTAAGTAATTTTGTACCATTCAGATGAAACAGTGTTGATTGAAGACTTACAAGTCTAAACTAGTCGTAGAATATGTAGCACCACAAGGTATCGTTAAAGCGTTAGTTTCTTGAAACAAGGACGAACAGCTGAGCTGGCAGGTTGACAATATTCCAGCCCCTTTCCAAATAACATTACATGTAACCTTACTTAGAGTCTTAGACACCAGCTGCACTGTGAATTTCTTTTCAAACCTCGCAGGAGAATGACATTAAAAAATTTAGCTTAATTCTGTATCTGTATCTTATAGCTGTAACGTTATATAACTGCCTTTTGGCATAACACACCAGCTCAATATGCAATTGCCAACAGTATACTGAGAAGAATACAGGAAGTTGTACAAGGGAAATGCACAGCCCGTACGTGCTAGAGAAGGTTCTGCAGAGGGCTTGAATATTTCCCTCTTACTGATGATATTTCTGATGTTTCTGATGGCAGTGTGTGTCCTCTTAATAACAGTTAGTGAGTTTGATTGTCAAGTTAACGTTGTTATTTAATATTTTCAAAATAATGATAAATGTCACAAGATGGCAATCATATCCTTGCGAATGTCTAAAAAGAAATATCAAGCGAGGAGCTAACCAAATGAATGAAAGAAAGGGAAAAGATACTGAAACATTCACCCCGTATTCACTTGGTGCATACCGGAGTACAGAGGACTCAAACAGCGGTGCGGTGCGGTGCAAGAGCGCCATCTTGCGGTTTTCACACGCATAGCAGGTTCTTCTTGCCAGCGTGGAGGTTAGTGCCAACATGGCGGGTCAGGAAGAATCGGAGTTGGCCCTTTTGAGAAAACTTGAAGAGGACGAGGTCTTCCGTCCGTTTCTTCGAGCAGAATTTGACGCAAAGACTCACGCAAATGACGTTCTGCACCATGGCATAGCGATTTCTCAGCAGTTGGCGAAATTGAACGAAGGAATCAACCTGTTAGATAGGGAACTACATAGCCAGGTGAGTAGGGGAGGGGGGCGGGGGCGATATTTAATGTTTCGTATGATTTCTTTGCGGTTGTTTCCCAATGACAGCTTTCTTTTACACTGGTAGGATCTTTTGTAGCTTTAGGTAACATAACTAAATAAAATATTCAGATGTACTATTAACTTTGCAGGACACAACAAAATCTTTAAAGCACCCAAACATACCTGTCCGAAAGTTGGATTTTTCTCGTTTTTTTTTGTTGGATGTTTGGTCAATGTTTAGAATTTTGTCTGTTGCAGCAACACAAGATTTGAATGCTAGAGTATGATGTCCTCAAATTTGAATTCAATCAAAGTTAAAGTGATCTTATACTGAAGTGATATGCACAGGTTCCACACAGGTGCAGTACGTTCTGCCAATGTGCTTACAAACTCTAACACCCCCCCCTCCCCAGGTTGTGGCCCGCCATGAGGACCTGTTAGTGCAGGCGACGGGAATCGAGTCGTTGGAGGGCGTGTTACAGATGATGCAGACCCGCATCACTAACCTGCAGGCTGCCGTGGACCGGATACGCACCAAGATCGCCGACCCCTGTAACAAGATCACATCACGGACCGCACAGCTGGCAAGGTTACAGGTATCAGAACCTCCTAGGATTTCTTTCAAATTGGATGCAAATAGTGTAAGAGTAGGGTTCAAGCTAGGTTCAAGCGCTGCTTACTTATCCATTCCAACAGGTCCAGACCTTTTGGAGTAGTGGTTAGTGCGCTCGTGTCGTGAACTCGCTGCTGGCTGCCTGGATTTGGTGCGGGTTGAATTCCTGGCATCCTGGGAGTCAGGGGTTTACCTGTTTCTACTCGCTCAAATTTGTTTCATGAAAATAAAGCACAGCACAGTTACAGGTAACTGTTACATAGTTTTTGTCAGGTAGATTAATCTCATACATGTTTATTTTATATCTTACAATTTACATGTATTTCATTTCTTCCCTGCCAGGCTGCCTGTGATCTGCTGCGGAGGATAATCCGGATCCTCTAACTAACGTCTCATTTCTTCCCTCCATCCCTGCCAGGCTGCGTGTGATCTGCTGCGGAGGATAATCCGGATCCTGTACCTGAGTCGCAGGCTGCAGACCCAGCTGCAGGGCGGGGCGCGGGAGATCACCAAGGCTGCCCAGAGCCTGGACGAACTAGACTATCTTATGAAGGGGGCAGATCTCACGGGTAGGTCAATACAAAAGTTATTTTCCCTCACATAATAAGTCAATATAAAAAGATATCATACAGAAACATTAAGATAGACATTAAGGTGACTCTTTCTTTTCTCCTGTGATATCGATATGCAAGAGCCACAGATACAACAATGTGCTAGGGAGGTGGTGGGTTGTGGGTGGCTCGAACTTCATTTTTGGGAATAGGGGCCCTGGTGCACCCAACCTAAAAAATTAGGTGTACAGAAAATTTTTTGGGTGCACCATATGAAACAAAACAGATCTTACTGCTCCTTTTCTGAGCTTGAATCTGAAATGGGAGCTAACTTAAATCTTAAACAAGTACTACGGTACAACAAAGCTTTCATTATTTTTCTGACACTTAGATGCCAATAATATCCTTCATACTACAATTGGGTGCACCAGTGCACCCACAGAAAAATATTGGGTGCACAACTCCAATTATGGGTGCACTAAGGTGCACATGCACCCAGTATTTCGAGCCCTGCATAATCATTACTACCATCTACCACCACTACATCGTCACCAAGAATCTTCAGTATTCTGAGTTTTTTTATGTTTTCCCTTTATCAGGTATAGAAGCCATAGAGCAGGACCGACTATTTATAGAGAGAGCCAGGAGAGATGTGGAGGAGCAGACCAGAACTATGCTGGAACAGGGCATGCAGACTCACAACCAGATGCAGGTATGGGGGAGGGGGGTAGCAACATGGGTGGCTGACAAGAGATTTTTATGTTATGTCTTATGTTTTCATTTCATGCAATTATGCATTTTCTTTCATTTCTGACCATGTACGTGTACGTGTATGTGGTATTACATGTATGTACATTTGTATGTGTATTTTGTTTAGTATGCAGTTTTAATGTTAAACCATGGTAAAAGTGTATGCGCAACCCATATACTTATAATTAGTATATATGGGCTTTGCAGGACAAGGGTTAATGTTAAACCCTGACTAAAGGGTATTGAAATAAAGCAAAGAATGAACCAAACCATTGAGGGTATTTGGTAAGGGTAGTAAACCGCAAGATGAATTAAAATTTAATGCAAAATAAATCTCAGCAGAAGTAGCTGCATTTGTACATCTGTACCTCAATACAAGTGTTAGTAATGTCCCTAAACGTTGAGCCAACACAAAAGAGAACTTACCATAAATTTTCGTTCGAACTCTTCATCCTTCATCAGATAAATGATCCACTCACTGACTGATCCACTCACTGACTTTCTGGATGTCAGGAGTGTTAATGTCATTAACACACACTGTTCCTACCTTGTCCAGGTGGCCACAGCCCTGCAGGTGTTCCATAACCTGGGCTGTCTGTGGGAGCGTGTAGACGGGGTGGTGACCCAGCGTAGGGACACCTTACAGACCGAGGTCAGGAGGGCACTGGACATCACAACCCTGTCTCAACAACCTACTGAACAGGGCAGGAAGACTGGCGGACCTGGTACGGACAAACCTTGCTTATTACAGAAGCAAAACATCTTGTTTTTGCTACGTTTCTTCTTCTTCTTCTCCAAACAGTGACCTCTGACCTGTCCAATGGCCTGATTTGTTGACGTGGCCTGGTACGGACAAACCTTGCTTATTACAGAAGCAAAACATCTTGTTTTTGCTACGTTTCTTCTTCTTCTTCTCCAAACAGTGACCTCTGACCTGGCCAATGGCCTGATTTGTTGACGTGGCCTGGTACGGACAAACCTTGCTTATTACAGAAGGAAAACATCTTGTTTTTGCTTCGTTTCTTCTTCTTCTTCTCCAAACAGTGACCTCTGACCTGGCCAATGGTCTGATTTGTTGACGTCTGTCACCACTGCCTTGATAACCTGTGTATTGATCTGTTGTCATTGCCAATAAAGAAAGAAAGAAATACTACCCTGGTTAGTATTTGCATCTCATGTATGTTACAGGTCGAGCAGCCATGCCAGCCATGGGGAACACAGCTATGTTCAGGGCCACCCTGTGGACTAACCTGGAGAAACTCATGGATCATATCTATGCAGCCTGCTCACAGGTACAGATATGTGTAGGCTAGGGAAGCAGCGTGCAAATTACCTGGTTGCCCGGTTGCCCCGGGCAACCAAATTTTACTTGGGGCAACCTATTTTTGAACCAAGGTAGCCATACCTGGATTTTAAGAATGCCCCTCCCCCTCCCCACGAAATCATGCCCACTTGGCTTGCACCACTGTAGCCGACAGATGCTTTTAAATTTTAGGTATTAATGGCTATTACTAGTATCAATCAAGTTACTAAAGGCTGTTAGAAATATTGTCAAAGGCTTATGTATGTAACATTACTTTATTTGAGGAAAGTAGTAACTTTTTAGGTGGGGAAACCTAAAATTCTGATGGGCAACCTGGTTCAAAAAAGTATTTTGTACACTGTATTTCCAGGTCCAGCACCTGCAGACGGTTCTGTCCAAGAAGCGCGACCCCGTGACTCACGTCTGCTTCATGGACGAGCTGCGGAAGGACGGAAAACCTCCCATCATGCACTCCTTCTGGAAGGCGATCACCCACATCCTGACCCAGGAGTTCGCACAGGTGGCGGACACATCAACTTTCCTCAAACAGGCCTTCGAAGGTACGTTGTTTGTAGGGCTCGATGTTAAAATCATTTTTTTCTGTATTCCTGCACTGTCGTATGTCAGTGTCCTAGCCAGTGTCTGTCTTTTGACAGAATTTTGACGCTCGTGATGGACAAACATTTTGCCTAATCCATTATGTTTCACAGACAAAAATCGGTGTGTTAAGATATGGAACAAGATTGCATTAAACTGAGCAAAAGTTGCCACTAAAAATGCAGAAAAAAGTGTTTCAGAAGTCAAGATTTCAAAATAGACTCAAACTGACTGAATAGGCTCATCAGGAAAGTACTAGTTGGAAAACGAATTCTCTTCCACCTAAAAGACGTAAATCTAGCAGTAACATGAAATGATGGCACTCTACTTTTCTTGACCTGCCAGTCTATGACTGAACCCCTGTCTGTCCTACATGTATCTAGGAGAGTACCCAAAGCTGTTACGACTGTACAATGACCTTTGGAAGAGGATGCAGCAGTATCGAGCAAACATGGCCGCTGCAGAGGATGCACAGGTTTGGTCTTTTTCATAACCTCCTAGTTCAGGGGCTATAACATGTTGTAACTTTGTAATTTTTGTAATTCACTTAGAAATATTTTCATGTATATGTTCAGGAAGTCCACACCCTATTTTCTTAGTTCTTTGACATTTATGGTGAAATATAGCATGATAAAACATTTTATCATGTTTTATCATGCTATATTTCACCATAAAAATCAGAGGCAGGGAGGAAAACTTGAATACGACAGTCACTGTATTTACTCCATAATACTGAGTGCACCAAAGGATTCTTTTTTCATTGTTTGTTTTTTAATCTGAGAACCAACAAATTGACTTGGTAGGGCTTAAGAAGGATATACATGTATGTAAATACAAAATAGAAACACATCCATGTAACACCTAAAAGTAAAATATATCATCTAATGGTACTTCTAAAAAATACATTATATGTACATTCAATGAGGTATTAATTTTTTCCTAAAAAATACTAGTAGTACGTTTGTCGTTTTAACTTGTACTTTGGAATATCTTGTAACAGTTAGCTCTAGTCTATACATTTGTCACAGTTACCTGTTACTTAGCATTAAATATTTTATACAGTAACTGTAAATATAATTATGTCACTATTATTTTTCAGGGTGAAGACTTGCTGGGAATAGTGGAGAGCGCTGAAGATGACGTCACAGACGATGGGCAGGAGGCAGCGAAGTTTGACCCGGAACAAGCCCTGCGTACGACGCTGTCACCATTCGAGCACGCGTACCTTTCTCGCTCGCTGTCACGGCTCTTCGACCCGATCAACCTCGTCTTCCCTTCCAGCGCCACGAGTACGCCTTCCCACGAGGAGCTTGACGGGATCATCAAGGCGATATCGAGCGAGCTGAACGTTGCGAGCGTGGACATCGGGCTCAGCATCGTGGTCGCCAAAAACGTTGCCAAGACGCTGCAGCTGTACTGCGCGAAATCGGAACAGCTGCTGTCCAACGATGAAGACATCACGATGATCACGACTGGCCAGAACCCGAACATCGCCGTCGTGAACTCGCTCTACCAGCTGCACCAGTCTGTTAGCAAAGTGCTGGCAACGGTCACCACGCTCCCCCCTCCTGCTACACAAACCATACAAAACGCCCTCAAAGATATCGCCGCCCTCATGAACAGTTCACTAGAACCCATGCTCAAGTCGATCTCCAAGTCCATCGAAGCAATCATACTCTCCATGCATCACGAAGATTTTTCCGGGCCAGTCCAAGATGGCGGCACGCCCGACGCGTCCAGTTCGGGCTTCATGAGGGAACTGCAGGACTTCATTGCTCGTGTCGGGACCGACTGCGTGCCCAAATTCGAGTGCAGAGAGTTTGTCATGGAAAGCCTCCAGCCAGTCGCGTGCCGTACCGTAGAACTCTTTGTGCGCCACGCTGGACTCGTTCGACCTCTGGGAGAGGGAGGCAAGATGAGGTTGGCTGCGGATTTCGCTCAGGTTGAGTCGGCACTTACCCCTTTCTGTCGGCGTATATCGGACCTGGGGAAACCGTACCGGCTGCTACGCGCTCTCAGGCCCCTCCTGTTCCAGAGCACGGATCACGTCGCTTCCAGTTCCGCACTGGGCGAGGTTATCCCGTACAGCGCTGCCTTGCATTACCTATTTTCCCGCGGTCCCCCAGAACTGAAATCCCCCTACGAGGTAACCAGATGGACCATTCCGCAGTACTCGCAATGGTTGGACGAACATCCAAGCGAGAAAGAAAGGCTGCACTTCCTCAAAGGAACGTTAGAAGCGTATGTGCAGGCAGTCAGGGCAAGGCAAGGCAGGGAGTTTGCCCCCATCTATCCCATCATGCTTCAGATGCTGCAGAAGGGAGTGGAGGCTGCTGGGTAATGTTACCCAGAAGGCTTTTGCCTGTAGTACCATCACAGCAATCCTGTAGTTTCATCATCATACTTTGTAATTATGGGCCTCATATAAAGAGTTGCATTATAATAAAAACCATGCTGTAAATGGTGAAAGAAATATGTCGGTGTTAAGGTTACATGTACATTCTTTTGGGGGAATTTATTGGTCTTTAATGTATATTTATGTATGATTTCATATACAGGTCACAAAAAATGCTTTAAGACTAATAGCAACATTGTATTGCATTTCATGTGGTTATAGAAAAAACTGTATGATATTCCAGGTGTAAAATTGGTTCTGTTACAGGTAGGTCAAAGCTATAGCTGAATTGCAGTCTGAACATGTGTTAACTTAACATGTATGTGATACAATAGATAATTTTGAGAGCAAAATTTTCTTCATGCACAATCAGGTGCACACATTTCAGTGGAGGAGCATCTGCATCTACCACCTTATAATAGATTATCTCATCATATTAAAAGTGACCAAGGTCTTACGTAAATACATATGGCAAGAGTAAAGAATGTCTGTTTGTGCTTAATTCTTGCAGCTCACTATATGATATTATGAGTCAAATTCTGTTGATTCAGGTGTTAGATTCACGGTTTCTCTAAAGTAGAGAAGGTAAAACATTCACTCCCATGTTTTGGGAATCCAACCACATGCACATCCATGCACATAAAAGAACCCATCACACTTGAAGAGTAAGGGTAACCCAGTGTGCTTGCCAGTAGAATGAGCTATGGTAAAACTACATTGGACTAGCACTATACTACCAACCAAATAAGAATTGTGCTTTGCCTCAATTAGGTAGTAGTTTTTGCACTGATCCTCTTGGAACAGATGGTCATATCGACCAGGAATATATTAATTTTAATCAGATAAAAAATGTCTCTTACACTGAAGATATGATTTGAAAATCCCCTTTGTCTTGATAGAAACGTCACCTAGTACTTGTAACGTTTGAAGTGCCTTGGTAACATTTGAAGTGCCTTGGTTTACAGTGGTACTTTTAGTCAATGCACTGATGACTTAACCTTGCTCTGCAGTACTAAGTAGTTCTGCACGATGTCGCTGCTGCGCAGCCTCTGCTCTTTGCTGGTAGAGTCCACTAGTAATGTGGTGGTAGGACATAATTATTTAACTCCAAATATGTCCAGCAGATATCACTAAAAGCAGTATGTCGAAAACAAAATTATTCAACATATAGTCATTACTAAATATTTAACTATTGACGCTAGATTTCTTGCTTGCTGCTTGATTGCATGTTATGTTTCTATTTATTTCCCCCCTTGGGGAAAGCCCAGTGGTATCTCCCATCGTGAAAAAATACAAAGATGGTGGACGGAAGTCTGGTTGTGTTGCTGTAGAGGAAGAAAATCAGGTTTTTCCTATCTTCTGTGCAAACTTTGACCTTTATCTCAGTAAACACGTAACCCAACATGAGTTCTGAAACGTCGAAGGATGACAGGAGGGGCGAAAAAAGGCAAGCGCCGTCCTCAGAGGTGAGAATTTACAATAAATTCGGAACAAAAAAATGGGGAGGGGGCACAATCACGCACTCCTCATCACTTAAAAATTAAGTTAGATTAAAAATTACAAGTACATTTGTACAGTACATTATATACTTTTAAATGATTTATAGCCAATTGTGTCGTGGGGTTATTTTTATTAATCTAACCTCGCTTGTTTCTGGGTTTTATCCATAAATTTTAATTTTCTCTACACATGTACCAAAACAGCTGCAGCTATTTTTAACTTGTTGTATACAGTATCTTGCAAACAAAAATAATTTTTCAAGACGGGTGAACTATTTGAGCCCCAGGAATTGTTTTTGATCTGCATAGACAGCTGAGTTTTATTTGTTGTGTTAGAAATAAATATGCAATGATAATATTAATTGTTTGATGCTGTTCAACATTTGTAAATAATAATATATATGACATTAACAATATTTGACTATGTTGTTGTCCTTGTTTAACGTCTAATATATTGCTAGACTTGGTCACTTGGTGCTTGTTTTCGCGTGGTTCAGTTCAGAGTCAAAAAGTCTCTCTAGGTATTTAACTCCTGGTGCCTCGTGCTTGAGTGAAGCTGGAAGTGTCTTGACTATAGTTGAAAAACTGCAACAGTTTGACTATGTACAGGTTGATGTTTCATACTGCAATCCACATTTGTTCCTATGTAGTCAGTGGACATCCATTCAGCTAACCGCTGGGAGTCTGCAGACCTCGGCGATGATCAACGTAAACAAAAGTTCCTCAGGTTAATGGGTGCCAGCAAGAGGGTGAGTAGTAAGATTGTTTTGTTTGTTTGTTTGTTTGTTTATTTGTTTATTTGTTTGTTTGTTTACATGACTAATAAGCTATTTGACTCAAGGCTTGGGCATACTATAATGGGGTCGTGTGGCGTAGCGGTAGTGTGTTCGGCTCAGAACCAAGAGGTCCCGGGTTCGAACCCTACCTTGTCACCGATCTTGTGCCCTTGGGAAAGGCACTTTACAGGACTTTCCTCACTTCACTCAGTTGAAAGTGAGCATGCCAGAATGATCATTATCATGATCGTGGGCATTAAAAAGAAAACCAAACCAAAACCTAATGTGCCAGAGCTAAAGTAAAAGACAAAAAGTGGTAGCCAGGTCTCAAACCATGGCATTTGTGTTAGTATATAACGTTAACTTAGATAAATAAATAAAACTCGAAACAAAAGTCTATCAATATGTAGGATATTAGACCTTGGCGGTACCTTTGAAATGTTTTCTTCCTGTATTTCAGAAAGAACATCATGGCAAGATCCACATCGGAGAAAGTCACAAGCTCCTGGTTCATTCTCGGAGTGGTGAGTTTACATCTTATTTATTTATCAATTGTATACAGAGGTAGCTCCTGCAGCCAAATACGAGTAGGGCTGAGTTGCAAGGGTAGCCAGTGTGTGCTAGCCTGGTTACCAAACCTATTGTAGCTCCCGAGTCCAAATAGGATTTGTGGAAAGGATGTAGGACTCGGGAGCTATAATAGGTTTGGTAACCAGGCTAAGTGTGTGAAGCACTAAACAGTTTAAAGGACACGTATAGGGGTGCCAGAGTACTAGTATACAGTGTAATTTTACAGAATACAGTGCAATCGTATCAGTATACAGTGCAACTTAACGGAATACAGAATACGGAATGCACTGTATAATAATACGATTGCACTGTATTCCGTAAAATTGCACTGTATTCCGTAAAATTGCACTGTATTCCGTAAAATTGCACTGTATTCCGTAAAATTGCAATGTATACTGTGGCACCCCTGATCTAGATTGTATGTTCTGCCCCTGAGCATATATAGGGTGTAACGTTATATGTTTTGCCTATGTGTACAATGTAGGTGAAGAGGAGCGACATGTGCAGCAGGACCTAGAACATCAGTTCCAACAGGGACTGGAAAGCAAACTTACAGGTAAGTCTGTATTATTGGAAGTTATTCCTATTTTTAGTGGAGCCCTAATCCAATGAGACACATTTGTACTGAGAGAGTGGCATTTGACAGTGAATAATGAGACAATGTCAGCATACAAAAGTACAATCGTGAAAATTTGAACTAACTGGTGGTATAATGCTCTCTTCTGATTGGTCAGGTAAAGCCAGGCGCCATGTTGGGCTGGGCTACCAGGAACCAGAACCAGAGGATCATGGGGAGGGTCAGAGGTCACAGCCAAGTGCAGAAAGTAACCCCACATCTTCTCAATCTCAAGATGATTCCAATTCTAAGACAGAGAAGAAGGAAGAAAAGAAGGGCACTGACTTATCTACAAAGCCACCAGATTCTACTCAAGAAAAAGGAGAAACTGAAAAAGATCATAGAAGTAAAGAATTGTAGTGGTTTTCATTTAGGTGACACATACGTAACTTAGGATATGACAACTAATTGCAAAGTACTAGTAATTTGGCATGAGTCCGAAAATCTTCAATCACAGTTGTTATATAATCATGCCACTCAGATATAACAATGTGGCTGCAACTTGTCACCAATCAAGAAATCACTGTAAGATCCTCTCTGTGTACCGCAGAATTAGAAAATAAAAGGACATTTTATATAGAGATAATGTCCTTGAAAATAGGAATGTATGTTGTGTTTGTATTAATAAAGAAGAGTTAAGATACAAAACAATGTTTCAAAGCTGTTTGATTACAAGTACAAGATACATGTATTTTCTAGTTTTGAACTTCATGTCCTTTTTAAGATGGGCTTCCATTGACTAATTTAAAGTACAATTTTGTATTTCAAATATCTTTGTGATGAGTGCTAATGAAAAATGAACAGTCACATATTGTAAACTATTCTGTGACAAAACCATTTAGGCCACATTGACTTAATTTTATGGATGACATCCGCACGCGCATTGATTTTCATCTGTTCATTCTATCATACTCAGTGCCTTACCCCAGCACATACATTAAAACATACATTCATAAAAATTACAAACTCAACAATATAAAAAAAACGTTACAACACAGTCACATTATAGGCACATTCAGTTCATTTTCCAAGTTCAGTCCTCTCCACTAGTCTACAGTCTGTTTTTCTTTCTAAATGCTAATGTTGACGTCAGTTTCCGCTGATCAGCAGCGAGACTGTTCCACAGGACAGGCCCTTGGTACTGCAGGCTGCCCTTGAAGGATTCCACATGTGCTTTAGGAGTGTCCAGCATGTGAGGGTCGAAGCTGTAGAACTGTTTCGTAGCAGTGCGAGTACGAACTCTGAACACTGGGGGTGACAGCCATTTGAACATATGTGTCATGTAGGCAGGTGCCTTGTGGCGAACTGCCTTGTGTACAGTTACTAATGTGTTCAATTTCACCCTTTAGTAGATAGCACATAGTAGTCTCCAAGCAGATGTTAGATAATGTACTTCAGCATTTTTCGTCTTCACTAGTTGTACACCAGAACTACACAATTATGCTACTTGTAGCGACCGGCCCTAGTTCTAGTATACTACAGACTATCAAACATTGCAAGAAAGCCAGAGATGTACTTGTATTTTGTATGCTGAAAGATTGTATCCAAATGAACCGAATAAGTTTGAAACTGACTAATGACGTAAAATAATTCTACAACTGTAGTTACCACAGGTTGCTTCACTGTGTTTTTATGTCAATGCGTTTATCTGTATCTGTATCTGTATAGCCGGTATAACCGCCTTTCGGCGTAACACACCAGGTTAGTTTAGGTTGCGTTAAAAGAAAAAAAAAGCTAACAGTTTCTGTTTTTTTAATGGGTCACACTTTCATTTCATTGGGCTGAAAATTGCCATTTTATGTTAAATTTGATGCATGCGGTAACGGTATTTTAGGAATCTACATTGGCAACAGCATGCTTTTCTCTCTAACTTTATTGTAATGATATTTTGGATACTCCTACTTGATACCAACGAATTGCGAAGGGCCAAGTGCTATGAAGGAGACTTTACTCAGTGCCTTACCAACCTGATGAAACTATTCACGGAGGTAACGTGTTATCTTCATTTTTGTATTTGAAATTTTATTATTTAATTCCAATGTGACAACTGTTACTTGGGCTATACCAATTTACTTTGATATGGGACAGATGTTTGCTTTGGTGCATAAATGATGCACTAAGTACTTGTCTTCTTCTTTGTGCATATCTTACTAAGATCCTTTTTAATTGCATCTCAAGAAGGGAGGGGGGCATGTAGCTCATCTTTCACTCCACTGTAATGTTGACAAATTTTATAAACCTTACAATTTCTCTTATTCTAAACCCATGCACAAAACATCATCCTGTCATACTGAAGGTGAATAAGGACAAAGACAGAAAAGTTTGGTTGCAAGTTTTATTCTAAGTTTTCATGAATGTCAATGACAAGATGTTTGGATGTTAGATTTAAAAGATGACAACGAGTTGAGTAACAACGACAGCAACGACATGATATTTCTTAATGCATTGCTTATTACCCATTATTTGTTTTAAGATACCAGTAGAATTAGAAACTGTTGAACAGTATGTAGAGTATTAATACTCAGTTACCAGCCGTTAGTATAGTGATGGCCAGTTTACATACATTAGTTAGCCTGTACATTGCCGGCGTAGTAAGACTAACCTATCCATGTGCCTCTTGTTAGAGAAGACACAAGTTCTGGAATTTCTGACATACACGATGTTGCTGTTTACAGTATGGTATGACCTGTTGATCATGTACATGTAGTGATGTTAAACATTTCAATCAATGGTGTTTTAAATGCTGCATTTAAAGCAGATCATTTCAAGGATGTTGTGTTTGAAACATATATACACATGTACAGGTTCTCTCTTTTTCACTTATCCTGGAGCAGTAACAAATTCCACAGTTAGGAATGACATTCAAAGTAACTTAGATCACTGGTAAGTTTAAATTTGGGAAGTCTGTTTCTGAATTTCAATCACACAAATTAGAATTTGTAACTTCAGCTGTACTGAAAGGTTATGTATATGAGTTAAAAGAGATTGAATCATATTGTATGGTGAATTTTAAAGTTTCAGGGATTTTGACTTAAAAATGATGATACATTCCAAAATTTAATTGACCAGTGTGTTAAGATGGATTCTTGTTAAAATCAAACTCTCCTGATTACAATATTGACTTCTTGAATTGAATGTTGTGCTGAGTACATATAGGTGGCATTATGTAATCTCAAAGAGCACAAAGTCGCCTTTCTTTAGTGACTCTAACAAAGGGATGTTGAATAATTAGGCCACATCAATTTAAGTCGTTGTTTCTTGGGCCAATTTTTTCGATGTTTTTTTTTTTGTTCAAAAGGCCACATGCAAATATCTTTTTCAGTTATTGGTTCAATCAATTAGTTGTCGGGCATCCTTTTTCCCAGTTTGTGTTCAAAATGTTGTGTTTTGCCAAAAAAATGCCAAGAGAGTAAATTAAATTTTCTTTTTCTTTTTATGATTACAGAGTGCAGGTAGCAACACTCTATTAGATGAGAGTATTAGCTTTTAATTTGGATTTGCCCACTGAAATGTTTCCTGCAAATCAGATGGATGTGGCCTTAGGAGAGTTTGTATCAACTTTGCACTTTGCAACC